ACCAGCTAAATATTCAAAAATAACAGCTAACAGATTTTAAGGAGGACATTGCTAGCAATGAAATAGTAGTCAGAGACTTCAACATCGTCTTATCATCTCTGGATAGATCAACAAGAATAAAACTCAGCAAGGAAACACTGGCTTTGAAAGAAGAAATAGAAGAGAGAGGTTTAACAGGGCTTTGCACACCAAAATGAAAGAATACACATTCTTTTCCAGTGCACACGGAACATTTTCTAAAATAGAACACATGCTGGGTCACAAAACATACTTCAATAGAATTAGGAAGATAGAAATTGTATCATCTATCTTTTCAGACCACAATGCACTGAAGATAGAAGTGAATCACACACAGACATGGAGAACTAAATCAAACACCTGGAAATTAAACAACTCAATGTAAGACAATGAGTGGGTAAGGAAGGAAATTCTTCAAAGAAATGGATCAAGCACTCCTAAAATTCATCTGGAACAACAAACACTCACGAATAGCTAAAGAAATTATTGGGGAAAAAACGATGGGAGACATCACCCTCCCCAACCTCAAACTCTGCTACAAAAGTGGTCACAATTAAAACAGCATGGTACTGGAACAAAGCCAGGGCCGCAGACCAATGGAACAGGGTGGAATATCCCTACACACAATCCCAAATGTATAAATATCTAATCTTTGATAAGAGAGTAGGAAATGTTAAGTGCAGCAAGGAAACCCACTTTAACAAATGGTGCTCGCATAAATGGACAACCACATGCAAAAAAATGGGCTTAGACCTCTACCTAACACTGTGCACAAAAGCCAGATCAAAATGGATTAAAGACCTTAACATTAGACTAGAATCAATAAGATACATTGAAGACAAGGTCAGCAAAACACTCCACAATATTGAGGCTATCTTCAAAGATGACATGCCACTGACAAACCAAGTGGAAACATATAAACAAATGGGACTATATTAAACTAAGAAGCTTCTGCACTGCAAAAAATACAGTGACCAAAATACAAAGACAATCTACAGAATGGGAAAGGATATTCACCTATAGCCATCCAATAAGGGGTGGATATCAAGGATATACAAAGGACTGGTTGAACTCCACAAGAAGAACACATGCAACCCCATCAAAAAATGGGGTGATGAAATGAACAGAAATTTTGTCAAAGAAGAAATCCGAATGGCTAAAAGGCATATGAGAAAATACTCTACATCACTAATCATCAGGAAAATGCAGATCAAAACAACAATGAGATATCATCTCACACCACAGAGACTGGCCCACATCCAAAAGAACAAAAGAAACCAGTGTTGGCATGGATGTGGCAAGAAAGGGACTCTCCTTCACTGATGGGAATGCTGATTTCTTCAGCCCTTTTAGAAAACAGTATGGATGATTCCCCAAAAAATTAGAAACTGGGCTCCCATTTGACCCAGCAATACCACTCCTAGGAATATATCCCAGAGGGACAAAAAAGTATAGTCAAAATGACATCTGCACTTGTATGTTCATTGCTGCACTGTTCACAATAGCCAAAATTTGGAAAAAAAACCGAGTACCCGAGAACAGATGACTGGTTAAAGAAACTTTCATACATCTACATAATGGAACACTATGCAGTTGTTAAAAAAGATGAAGTCATAAAATTTGCATACAAGTGGTTCTACATGGAAAGTATCATGCTAAGTGAAATGAGTCAGAGAGAGGGACAGATGTAGAAAGTCTGTACTCATCTGGGGAATATAAAGTAACAAAATGGGAGACAAACACCCAAGGATAGTTGAGATAAGTACCAGGAGGTCTGCCCTACGGTTTGGAAGCTGACAGCAGATACTGGGGGTACTGGGAGGGGATCGGAAACGCAGCTCAGATAGAGAAGGAAACACGAAGTAAAGGGTGTTTGGAGGACTCTCTTGGGATGTGAGATGCGTGCTGAAAGTACACTATAGACCAAACACAATGGCCACTCAATACCTCTATTCCAAAGCACAACATCCTAAAGAAAAGAGAGAGCAAAATGGAATGCCCTACCACAGAGGTGGGGTGGGTTGGGGTGGGGGGGTATGGGATGAGGGTGGTGGGAGGGCTACTTGGTTCATTGGTGGTGGAGAATGGGCACTAGTGGAGGGATGGGTACTCGATCATTGTATAACTGAAACCTGAAAGTTTGTAAGTCTGCAACTGTACCTCATGGTGTCTCCTAATAAAAAAAAAATTTAAAAAAAACCATCCCACCTTCACAAATGAACTCCAACAAGCCACTAAGTCACCAAAATATTCCAGGTAACGGACACCTGTGTGGAGGGTGAGGTGCTGTAAACACTTCATGCATGAAATCTTACTAATAATATTTTTCAAGCCATATTATATTGCCCCCTCCCCAAAAAAATAGAAGAATTAATACAGGATATCAGACTTCCTTTCCCCAGGCAGTGTCCTCAGTGTCCCCAGTACCACTAACAGCTTCTCTCACTCACTTTCAGCAGTGGAGATGCCTCTGGCAAATTCAACACGATGAAAGAATGACCCTCTGAGATTCAGATGCAGTCTGTGTGGAGGAGAAGCCTGAGAATCCGCGTATTAACAAGCGCCTAGACTATACTATTTTAATTTTTATTTATTTTTATACTGTATCTAAACACTGTGGTTTACAAAGTTGTAATGGAGTTGTTTCAGACTTCCATTGTCCAGTACCAATCCCACTAATCAGTGTGACCTTTCCTAAACCACATTCAAGTCTGCCCCCTTAGCAGCCACAAACCAATTTATTTTATATTACTTGTTACAACTAAATGGCTAATGGAATTATCAAAAAGTATTTAGTAAAGAAAATATATTAAAATCATTTTATCTCACAATGGGATCACTAAGTCACTGTCTGGGTGTGGGGGAGGGGGGGCGGGTTACTGAGCTATTTGTTGCTAGTTGAGCCTTCCGTGTTATTATTTTTGTGTATTGAGCTTAGTGGGCTTCTATGCTACTTTCCCGTCTAATTTGGTGTGCCCCTATTGTGCTGCCAGTCTTGTAGAGTTTAGGATATTGCATGCCACACATGTGCACTTCCAGGAACTCCAGGATCTGTAGAACTGGGCCAGTGCGTTTACATAGTGGTGGTTGTGGGACAAAAGTGGCTGCTGGGACTTTGAGCAGGATGGAGATGGGAGAAGGTTAACTTGCCCTACTCCAAGATCACTCCGGATTTTCAACCCCCAATCAATGTACCTGAAATTTTCCTCAGTTTGACATTTCTGCAGAGATTAGACTGAAAGTACCTAAATTGGACCATTAGCATGGCAGCGGCTGTGGGGTGTGGCTGCAGCTGCCTGAGCTTTGGCAGAGCAGGAACTTGGTCCAGCCCTTCCTGAAGGTGACCTAGAGTTTTCAGCAGGATGACTGGTGTACCCGTAAATTTTAGTGGCTTGTCTTGGTTCGCATTTCTTCTAAGCTTATTTGTGAATCTGCGAAGCTGGACCTATGAATTTACTTTACTACACCTCTGTTCTGCTCATAACAATTGCTCTCATACTGCTCTTTAGGAATCAGCGGACTTTAACTGCAGCCCTAGCGAATATACATTGCATAAAGAAGAGATATCTGGAAGAGTTCCACAGTTTGAAAAACCTGACTCATGTTCATTCACGAGAAATATCATGGCTCACATGAGTCGCTCTGTCATTTGCTAAACCTCACTTCAGTAAGGAATCACTATCAACTCAAATGAATCAGTGTTGTTATTGTTTGGCCAGTAGGTATTTGGTTTCTACAAATTGAATGTTCCTACCCCCAAAGACTCATATGTTAAAGCCCTAACCCCAATCTGGGGTAGAGCTTTTGGGAGGGTATTGTGACATAAAGACAAGCACCCATAAATGATACTGGTATCCTTCTACATGAGAATGCAAGAAACTTTCTCTCTCCTTCTTCCAGATGATCGCAATCATCCTGTTGTTCGTCGATGCCTCAAGCAGGCACCAGTAACGTCTCCTTCGTCCTAACCCTGAGATTTTTTAAAAAGTGCCATATTCAAGGCTCTTTCAGGGCTAGGAGAATGAGACCCATCATTGTTACTGGTACTTGGCATATTGGGTACGCCACAGGGAGTTTTCCAGACTCTGCCGTGTGGGGAGGTAACATTCGGTAGCCTGCCAGGTTGTCCAAAGAAAGAATGAGATAATAAGATAATAAACTTCTCGGAGCAGGGTTTTGTAATCTCTGGGTCTTGGGCATTGATGGGATTACACTGCGCTGGGGGGTCAGTTGGTGGGTGTGACCCCTGCCTACAGAAGATGGAGGATCTGGGTGGAGAATGCTCAGCCCCGATCTGAGCAGGCTTGGAGATCTCTGCCCCAGGATCCACATGCCTTTGTTCCTCTGCCGGTATCTTCTTGAGTGTGGAGAATGGTCTCAGCATGGTTGTGGCTGGTTCTGGATGTCTTTGGCTGCTGGAGCTCTGCTCGGGGCAGGGAGGGAAACTTAACCCGCCCCCATCTAAGGGGCCCCGGCGAGGACAGCCAGGCGTGGGGGCAGGAGACTCTGCCATATTCAATAGGCATTAGTATGGTTCTTGGCCAAGCCCATTTCGATGCAAGGGTAGCTCACAGCTTGCCCTAGGTTCATCCAGTTCCTTGTTGGGACCTTGTTCTTGGAGTGCTAGGAACTATGGGCAACTGAGGCTTAAGTCAAGTAAATAATTTACTTTACTTCCAGATGAATTCTCAGTAAAAGACAGTCATCTGTAAATCAGAATATATTCCCCTTAGCAAATACTAAACCTGTTGACAATTTGGACTGCTGTCTCCAAAAGTATGAAGAAAAAAATTTCTGATATGTCTAAGCCTTTTCATCTATGATTTAGTAGCCTAAATTGTAAAAGACACTAGTTAATTGTTGACTATAGAAAGAAACAATTTTCATGCTGCAAATAAGTTTGTCTTTCTTCAATACTCAAAATCCAGAAGAGAAGAACATGCCTAAAATAATCTTACCTGCTACCGAAAAATGATACTCACGGATGTGTGAGGTGTCTGAGGTTGCTGAAGGGACCCTGTATGCGCCGCCTCAGCTCCTGGGCCCAGCGCAGACCACCCGCTACAGTGGGCATGTTCTTGTGGACTGGGGAGAATCCTGGGGGCAGGAGACAGCCAGGCTGAAATAAAGCCCCAAGTACCTGCCCTACTCACCTCAGAAATACCTCCACTGTTACCTTCTTTTTTTTTTCTTTTTGGGTCACATCCAGCGATGCTCAGAGGTTACTCCTGGCCCTACACTCAGGAATTACTCCTGGTGGTGCTCAGGGGACCATATAGGATGCTGGGAATCAAACCCGGGTTAGCCACGTGCAAGGCAAATGCCCTACCTGCTGTGCTATTGCTCCAGCCCCTGTTACCTTCATTTTTAAAAAATAATTTTTATTGAATCTCTGTGAGATATATCCTTACAAAGCGGTTCATGATTAGGCTTCAGTCATACCATGTTCCAGCACCCATCCTTCCACCGGTGCACATTTCCCAGCACCACCAGTGTCCTCAGTTTCTCTTTCTCCCTCTCTCTACCTCTCTCTTTCCTTCTCTCCTTCTCTCCTTCCCCTCCCTTTTACACATTATGGTTTGCAATAACTGAAAGGTTATCAGGAATATCCTGATAACCCACTGTTAACACTTAGTTCTTGTGCAGTGTGATGATTTTATTTTTTTGCCTTATCTATTCCACATGCTAAAGTGGCCCTGAAAATCAGGAGTTCCTAGTAGATCACCACATTCAGCTAATGAGTAAGAAAAATGTGTGCTAGGAGAGAAATATTCAAAGGACCAAAGGATGTGAGTTCCACGGTCAGATCTGATGCTTACTGGTTCTGTGACTTTTAAGGTGACTATACATTAGCATCACCTATATTACTACCCTGGGTTTACCTTAGACATGCTGAGCTAGCATGAAGGCAAGTCATCATATTTTTAAAAATCTCTCAAGATGATTTAAATTGTCTAGTCAGATTTGAAGAACATTGCCTTAAACAGTCATCTTGCTATCATTGGGTAAAAAGGGAGGAAGATATTCCCTCCATTCATGCATTTTTCAAGATTAATAATTACGACGTTTTATTTTTTAAAAAATATTTACTTCTAGCATTCCTGGTGAAATGATAAGATTGAGTAATAATTAGCAATCATTTCCAGCTAGCAACTAGAGCTGTACAATGGTGTCTTTGTTTAGTTTACCATGGACTTATCACTCCCTAATTTTCAGCCCAGGATCATTTTCCACTTGCGGCCATGGTGTGCAGATTTTTGAGATAACACCCAATGACTATCATTTACATATTTCTCATCTTTAAGCTATTACCTTCCAGGGGTTAGACAAGGCTTTTAAGAGTAGTTTTCTGTGACAAAAACAAAGATAGGAAACATGAGAAGGATTTGGATGTCATTCCTGGCTGTACTGGAGATGGAGAAGAAAAAAGGAATGTAAATAGCTTCTAGTGTCTGCGAGAACATTCCCCCTTTCTAGCTGACAGGAAAAAAGGAGATGGAGACCACAATTCTGCAATTGCAAGCATCTGTGTGCTACAAAAAATGAGCCATGAAGTGGGTGTTTTGCCAGACCTTCTATATCCTCCATTAGTCAAACATTCCACTTGACTAATATCTTGGTTTCAGCCTTGTACTGATACTCTGACATATCATCTTAGGCACAACAGATAAAATATAGGTATTACTTTAAACCACCAAGATTGTGATAATTTGTCATATAACCAGCAAACACTAACAGAGCTTCTGAAGACATCATTTTTCAAATCCTGCATCCGATTGTAAGCAGTCAGTTGGTCGGTTTCACATAAAAGTGAGGTCAACACTTTTCCGGGGGTGATTTTAAGTGAAAATACAATAATTTTGCTGTGAAACCTGTTTATAGACATAGTTGTTCTGGGGCCAGTGAGAGAGAGTACAGGGGCTAAAGTGTTTGTTTTGCAGGAGGCCAACCCCAGCACCACATGGACCCCTGAGAACTAGGAATTATTCCCCAAGCACAGAACTGGGAGTGACCCCAAGAACCATCAAGTACGACTCAATACTCCTCTCCAAGTAACATACTAGGTGGTCTTGGTATTCTATTATTTAAAAACCTTAGGAAAATTTTCATTGCTCAAATAATAAAGTTCAGATTCCTTAGTATAGAATCTCACAGCCTGGCATAAAACCCCATAACTGATACAGCCCGCCCCCAAGGGCCTGGGTCCCTCTCTGGGCACGCGCAGCTAGAAACAGCCCCTAGACAGCCGGTTTTCAACCCCTGATCTGCGTGGGATGGGCACAGAGGCCCAGCTCTGGGCAACAAAGCTGAACGGCTCCAATTCCAACAGGTATACAGCCCGCCCCCAAGGGCCTGGGTCCCTCTCTGGGCACGCGCAGCTAGAAACAGCCCCTAGACAGCCGGTTTTCAACCCCTGATCTGCGTGGGACGGGCACAGAGGCCCAGCTCTGGGCAACAAAGCTGAACGGCTCCAATTCCAAACAGGAGACGTTCCCAACTCCTCGCCCAGTGCCAGGGACTCTTTCCGGAGCCAACGCAAAAGCCCACCAAACTTTCATATTGAAGAGTCTAGCCCAGATGACACCAACAGTACTGTAGTGTTAGACAACCTCTCTGACAAGGAATTCAGAAGGGAGCTACTTAGGATGCTTAGGGAATTAAAAGAAACAATGGAAACCAATGCCAATAGAAGACAAGAGGATCTGAAGGCAGAAATGAGGAAAATGCAATCAGAAATGTCAGACCTGAAAAATCTCGTAGGCGAATTGAAAAGCTCAGTGGAAGGCCTCAGCAGCAGAGTAACAGCGGCTGAGAACAGAATCAGTGAGCTCGAAGATGAAGTTCAGAGACTCTCCAGAAAAGAGCAGAAAATGGAAAAGAGACTCTCAATTCGGGAACAGATGGCAAGAGAAGATCGTGATGAAGCCAAGAGGGGTAACATAAGAATTATTGGAGTCCCAGAGGGACAGGAAGAAAACCTCGATGAAGAAGAATCTGTCAAAGAAATCGTTGCTACAACATTTCCAGAGCTGAAGAAAACTTGTGACCACATTCAGGAGGCCCGAAGGGTACCAGCTAGAAGAAATCCGAATAAAAATACCCCAAGACACATTCTGATCAAAATGACCAAAACCTTAGACAGAGACAAAATTCTGAAAGCAGCAAGATCGAAGAAAGAAATCTCTTACAAAGGAGCATCCTTAAAATTCACAGCTGATTTTTCTGATGAAAACCTCAGGGCCCGAAAACAGTGGTGGGACATAGTAAAAAAACTCAATGAAATAAATGCCTCCCCAAAAATACTTTTCCCAGCAAGACTCTCATTCATAATAGAAGGAACAACACACAGTTTCACAGACAAACAACAGCTCAGGAACTTCATAGACTCAAAACCATGGTTACAAGAACAACTAAATGGGCTACTTTAAGGCAAGAAAGGCCCCTCAAATACACCAAATTTTAACAGAACAATGGGACAAAATCCCATAACAATAATCTCTCTCAATGTCAATGGGCTAAACGCACCAATTAAAAGACATAGAGTGGCAGGATGGATTAGAAAATTGAACCCAACATTCTGCTGCCTGCAAGAAACGCATCTCAATAGTCAAAGCAAACACAGACTCAGAGTCAAAGGCTGGAAAACAATCCTACAGGCAAACAGCTCCCATAAAAAAGCTGGGGTAGCCATCCTTATATCAGACCACATCGATTTCAGAGTGAGGAAGGTCATAAGAGACAGTGAAGGCCATTTCTTATTGATCAGAGGATCTGTACAACAGGAAGAACTTATAATAATAAATGTATATGCACCTAATGAGAGACCAGCAAAGTACTTAAAACAACTACTCATAGATTTGGAAAAAGACATCAATAGGAACACAATACTAGTGGGAGACTTCAACACTGCTTTGTCACCTCTTGATAGATCAACCAGACTCAAGCTTAGCAAGGACATACTTCATTTGAGGGAAACAATGGAAGAAAGGGACTTAGTAGATATATACAGGACACTTCATCCACAAAAAGCTGAATACACATTCTTCTCAAGCGTACATGGAACATTCTCCAAGATAGACCACATGCTGAGCCACAAAACATGCCTCCATAAAATTAAGAAGGTAGAGATTGTATCAACAATCTTCTCAGACCATAATGCGCTGAAATTAGAAGTAAATCACACACAAAAACAGAAAACTAAATCAAACACCTGAAAATTAAACAGTGCACTATTGAACAACGAGTGGATTAGACAGGAAATCAAAGAGGAAATCAAAAGATTCCTAGAAACGAATGAAAATGAGAACACGAGTTACCAAAACTTATGGGACACAGCAAAGGCTGTGTTAAGAGGAAAGTTTATAGCTCTACAAGCATTCCTCATGAAGGAGGAGCGAGCACACATAAGTAACCTAACCTCACAGCTTAAGAGCTTGGAGAAGGACCAAAAAAAGGAGCACAACCCGAACAGGAGAAAGGAAATAATAAAACTCAGAGCAGAGATTAACGAGATGGAAACCCAAAAAACAATCCGAAAGATCAATGAAACCAAAAGCTGGTTCTTCGAGAAAATTAACAAGATCGATAAGCCTCTAGCAAAACTCACAAAGAAAGGGAGAGAGAAAACCCTAATAAACCGAATCAGAAATGAAAAGGGGGTCATTACAACAGAAACCACAGAAATTCAGAGGATCCTCAGGGAGTACTTTGAGAAGCTTTATGCCACGGAACATCAAAACCTCAAGGAAATGGATAAATTCCTAGACTCCTACAGACTCCCAAGGCTGAACCAAGAAGACCTGGAATATCTGAACAGACCTATCACCATCAAGGAAATTGAAATGGTAATAAAAAGTCTCCCCAAGCACAAAAGTCCTGGCCCGGATGGATTCACTAGTGAATTCTTCCAAATCTTTAAAGAGGACTTACTCCCGATGCTCTTTAAGCTTTTCCACGAAATTGAAATATCAAAAACACTTCCGAACAGTTTCTACGAAGCAAATATCACACTGATACCAAAAGCAGACAGAGATACCACAAAGAAAGAGAATTACAGGCCGATATCCCTGATGAACACAGATGCAAAGATCCTCAACAAACTACTAGCAAATAGAATCCAACTACTCATCAAAAAGATCATACACCATGACCAAGTAGGATTCATCCCAGGGATGCAAGGATGGTTTAACATTCGGAAATCAATCAACATAATCCACCATATCAACAAAAGAAAAGATAAAAAGCATATGATCATATCAATAGATGCAGAGAAAGCATTTGATAAGATCCAGCACCCCTTTATGATGAAAACCCTAGCCAAAATGGGTATAGAAGGGACCTTCCTCACATAATTAAAGCCATCTACCACAAGCCTACAGCAAGCATCATCCTCAATGGGGAAAAACTGAGAGCCTTCCCTCTTAGATCAGGGACGAGACAGGGATGCCCACTCTCTCCACTGCTGTTCAATATAGTACTGGAAGTACTTGCAATAGCGATTAGGCAGGAAAAAGATATTAAGGGCATTCCGGTAGGAAAGGAAGAAATCAAGCTCTCACTATTCGCAGATGATATGATACTCTACTTAGAGAACCCAATAACTTCCACCAAAAAACTCCTAGAAACAATAGACTCATATAGTAAAGTTGCAGGTTATAAAATCAATACCCAAAAGTCCATGGCTTTCCTATACGCAAACAGTGAGAGAGAAGAAAGCAACATGAAAAAAACAATCCCATTCACAATTGTGCCCCAGAAAATCAAGTACCTAGGAATCAGCTTAACTAAGGAAGTAAAGGACCTGTACAAAGAAAACTACAAAACGCTACTTCAGGAAATAAAAGAGGACATGAGGAAATGGAAAGATATCCCCTGCTCATGGGTCGGGAGACTTAACATTGTCAAAATGGCAATACTACCGAAAGCATTGTATAAATTCAATGCAATCCCTATAAGGATACCCATGACATTCTTCAAAGAAATGGAGCAAACACTCTTGAAATTTATATGGAACAATAAGCCCCCACGAATAGCTAAAGCAATTCTAGGGAAAAAGAAAATGGGAGGAATCAACCTCCCGAACTTCAAACTGTACTACAAAGCAGTAATAATTAAAACAGCATGGTACTGGAACAAAGGCAGAACTGCAGACCAATGGAACAGGGTTGAATACACTGACATCTCTCCTCAATCATATGCTCATCTAATCTTTGATAAAGGTGCAAGTAATGTGAAGTGGAGTAAGGAAAGCCTCTTTAATAAATTGTGTTGGCATCACTGGACGGCTACATGCAAAAAAATAGGCTCAGAACTCTGCCTAACACCATGTACAAAAGTAAGATCAAAATGGATTAAAGACCTCAACATCAGACCAGAAACCATAAGGTACATTGAAGACAAAGTTGGCAAAACCCTCCATGACATTGAAGCTAATGGTATCTTCAAAGATGCCACGCCACTGTCTGAGCAAGTGAAAACAGAGATAGATAAATGGGACTATCTTAAACTAAGAAGCTTCTGCACCTCCAAAGAAACAGTGACCAAAATACAAAGACAGTCTACAGAATGGGAAAGGATATTCACCGAATACACATCTGACAAGGGGTTGATATCCAGGATATACAAAATACTGGTTAAACTCCACAAGAAGAAAACATCCAACCCCATCCAAAAATGGGGCAATGAAATGAACAGAAACTTTCTCAAAGAAGAAATCCGAATGGCAAAAAAGCACATGAGAAAATGCTCTACATCATTAATCATCAGGGAGATGCAGATCAAAACCACAATGAGATACCATCTCACACCTCAGAGACTGGCCCACATTCAAAAGAGCAAAAGCAACCGATGCTGGCGTGGATGTGGCGAGAAAGGGACACTCCTTCACTGTTGGTGGGAATGTCCACTGGTTCAGCCCTTCTGGAAAACAGTATGGACGATTCTCAAAAAATTAGAAATTGAGCTCCCATTTGACCCAGCAATACCACTCCTGGGAATATATCCCAGAGAGGCAAAAATGTATAGTCGAAGTGACATCTGCACTTGTTTGTTCATTGCAGCACTCTTTACAATAGCCAGAAACTGGAAGAAACCTGAATGCCCAAGAACAGATGACTGGTTAAAGAAACTTTGGTACATCTACACAATGGAGTACTATGTAGCTCTTAGAAAAGATGAAGTCATGAAATTTACATACAAGTGGTACAATATGGAAAGTATCATGCTAAGCGAAATGAGTCAGAAAGAGAGGGATAGACATAGAAAGATTGCATTCATCTGGGGGATATAAAGTAACAAAGTATGAGATTAATACCCAAGAATAGCTGAGATCAGCACCAGGAGGATTACTCCATAACTTAGAAGCCAGCCGGGTATCCTAGAGGAAAGGGCAGTTCAGATAGAGAAGGGAGCACCAAATAAAGGATGTTTGGAGGATCCTCCCAGGAGGGGAGATGCATGTCGAAAGTAGACTATGGACTGAACATGTTTGCCACTCAATGCCTCTTTTGCAGACCACAACACCCAAAAGGAGAGAGAGAACACAGGGGATTGCCCTGCCACAGAGACAGGGGGGATGGGGGGGTGGGGATGGGAGGGATATTATCCATGGTGGTGGAAAATGGGCACTGGTGGAGGGATGGGTATCTGATCATTGTATAATTGAAACCAAAGCACAAAAAATTGTAAATCTACAACTTTAAAAAAAAATAAAATAAAATAAAGGGAAAAAAAATAAATAAATAAAATAAAATAAAGGGGAAAAAATAAAAAAAAATTAAAAAAAATAAAAAAAAACCCATAACTGGGGTATTGTCCCTCACTGCACCTTATTAGGCAAAGTCAGGGCCAATTTCTAACCTGATATATCCTATGTTGTCCTAGCTTTGGAGACCTTTGGAGGATTGGTTATCAATTTTTCCAAGCATCCAAGGCTACCATTTTATGAACTTTAAATAAATCTCCAAATAATAATTCTCTTGATTATTTTGGAAGATGGACCATAGCAAGCACTAGTAAATAATTACTTATAGGGGTATGTGCTCGAAAATAATCTTGAACCAGAGTAAACCAGTTCTACTCTCCAGCTCTAACTCATCTTATTTTGTTAGTTTTTAAATCTAATTTGGAGTTGTAGTCTGCTATGTTTTACTGTTAACACTTCATGCCATAAATGCCTTTAAAAAATCCTACCCTTTATTTTGGCCTTCAAATGCATTCAGTATCTACACAAGTGCCCTACATAGAGCAAAGACTCAAGGTCTATTTGTAAAACTAAATTGAACCAGTATTTAACTCTTGATCAGATAAGACACAATAAAATTTCATATGTTACATCTGTACAGAGTATTACCTTTTGTGAGGAAATATTTCTCTCCCTCCAGAAGTATAGGCAGTATGGAATTGGGAAGGATAAGAAACTTTTCTCAGTGATAGTGATCATTGGAAGGGATGGCTCTGGATGGGAGATGTGTGCTGAAAGTGGGTAAAGGACAAAATTTGATGCCTCTCTGTATCTGTACTGCAAACCACAATGAGGGGAGGAGGGAGCAGGAGAGAGAGAGAGAGAGAGAGAGAGAGAGAGAGAGAGAGAGACAGAGACAGAGACAGAGACAGAGACAGAGACAGAGACATAGATAGAGAGAAGAAAAGCACCTACCATGGAGGCAGATAGGGGTGGGTGGTGGCAGGACTGATACTGGGAAATGTGCACTGGTGGAGGAATGGGTGTTGGAACACTGTATTACTGAAACCCAATCACGAAAGCTTTGTAACTGTGTATCTCATGGTGATTCAATTAAAAAAATCAATTAAAAATTTAAAAATAAATAAAATTAAATTAAAAAAATCCAATTCAAGAAAAGTTTTCTTGGGCATATAATAATCTGTTTTGGGACTGAAATAAGTTGAATATTTGTCTAGCAACATTGATCAAGAATCAAGTCAAATATTGTTCTACCCAGTTAGACAATCATCTAAGATAGTCTGGAATTTTAAGCAGGAAGGTTATACTTGTTTTTTTTTTTTTTTAGAAATGTTATATATACATGGTGAAAATTTAAGAAGCACAGCAGGAATTATTTGTATTCTTTCTGCTAAGTTCATTTCTCACCCACATGCCCTTGTGAAAAACCTACCAGTTTCAGCCTCTTCCTGGACACGCTGGCTGTAGATTGTTTTTACAGCATCCAAATCTTTGTTGAATGTTTGAATGAGCATAAAATATTTATCAGATGCATCTTGTGCTATGAGGGGTCTTTCAAGGAGATTTCCTGCTATATCTAGCAGCTGAAGAATAGGTTGGAAAAGAAGAAAAGTCGCATGTTTTACCTTTCCAATATTACATTTCTTTCCTTTTTTTTACTTCATATGCCTACCCATGTTATAGCAAACTAAAGAAGACTGAACATTTGTCTTACATAGTTTTCTAAAATACTATGAGTTCACTCAGTTTCCCAGAATTTTTTTTTAATGTTTTACATTTTCATGACCGGAAACTTTACTCTCAATAAATTCAGGCTAGCTTTAAAACTTTTGACAGATAACATTTTCTTGAGCTAAAATATAGAGGAAAATTATGCCTCCTTATAATTTCCATTCATTAGTCTTAGTCTAACTAATCCTAAGACTTCTTAACAATAAATTTCTTCACAGTTTATTGAAAGTTTATTACGTTTGATTAAGTCTTAATGTGCCAAAACTCAGGATTCTCAGTTATGCAATCATTTACCTATTCAACATTCAAAATCTTCTCCTTAATCATTCTTATACTAACTGATCCTAGCAAAACAACAATGTGTGTGTGTGTGTGTATGTGTGTGTGTGCGCTGCCTAAGATTGAATCTAGGATCTCATATGTGTATGTATGTGTTTATACACATTCTACTACTGAGTTATATCTGTTTTATTCATAATTAATTCCCTTTATTCGTACTTAATGACCCAATTGGTGGTCTACTTTAGCTTTACTCAGTCTAGTAGGGGTGGCAGTGCAGTCATGGTTTCTTAACAGCGACCTCAGCTGATAAACTGACTTTTAATGGATACCCTATTGATAAGGACTTAAGATAAAATTCCAGAAGAAACTCTTTCTCCCCCCCCCCCAAATTTTCTTTTATTAAAGCGCCATGAATTTCAAAGTTATTGATAGTTGGGATTTTAACCTACAGTGTTCCGTCAACAATCCCACCACCAGTGTCAGCATCCCTCCACCCGTGTTTCCAGATTCCCTCTCCTACCCCTCCCTCACCCCCAGCCCCAGCCTGCCATCTTGACTGGCACCTTTTAAATCTGGTTATAAAAGTTTGAGTCTCGCAATTTCAGTGTTGTTGACTCGGGATTGAATATTTAGCCCTATCATTCCTAACAGCACCAATGTACCTGAGTCCCCTTGACCCCTGATCCCATTGCTTCTCATCTGTCTCTTCTCCCCTCCCTTACACTCTATTTCTTTTCTTCTCCTCCCTCTTCTCTAGGGCCAAGGGTGATCTCCTTTTAAACCATTGCATTTCCTCATTCAATTACTCTAAATACCATGTTAGTGATATTATACTGTGCAGAAGAAACTCTTTAGTGTTTTTACATTGTTATGTAAAAAACACATAACTCAGAAAAACTTTGGCAATCAACCCAATGAACCCAATTCTGCATACTTTCTTTTCCTAGGACACCATAACATCTCTCTGTTAGAATAAGATGTAAACATAATATCTGCAGGAGGAAAAAAAGATAACTTGACTTATCCCTACTGTCCTTCGAGGAATGAGTAAAAGAAGCAAGCCTAGGGTTGACTTCCACTCAGCTTGCACACACCTTAAAGGCATGCTCCAAATCTGGGGCATCATCAAAGGCTTGAATAAATATTGTCCCCATTCTTCGGTCAAGATCTTCAACCCTCTGGTTAAACTTGAAGACATCATTTTCAAATTCCTAAGGAAATAACCATAGTCATAAGAAAAGCACAACTTTGGGAAAGTCAATCCCAGTGTACTCTTTGCTATTCACTTGATATTGTTACTGTTTAGTATTTAAATCAATAAGGAGTTATTCTAATTTATAAATTAGAATAAAATAACTATGTTATTCTAATTTTTAACAGGAGGACAGTGCTATGGTGCACCTTAGTAACATTTAGGGTTTTTTCCCATGTAGATGTTCACCCCATTATTGTAGCAACTTTTCCTTTATGCTCTGACCATAGGAGGATAGTGCATCAATTACTTCCTGAAGTTCCTTCTTAGCCACCCAAAGTGCTATAACAGGCTACTCCAGAAGAACCTCAATAGCAGCAGCCCTAGTAATGAGGAAAGTCTATTGTACCACCAACTTTCCAATTACAATCAAATGAAAATCTGTTTTTCTTTTCAGTGTAGCACTGTAGAACTGTCATCCCATTGTTCATCAATTTGCTCGAGCGGGCAGCAGTAACATCTTCATTGTGAGACTTGTTATTACTGTTTTTGGTATATTGAATACGCCATGGGGAGCTTGCCAGGCTCTGCTATGTGGGCGGGATACTCTCAGTAGTTTGCTGGGCTTTTCGAGAGGGATGGAGGAATCGAACCCAGGTCCACCATGTGCAAGGCAAACACCCTACCCGCTGTGTTATCACTCCAGACTTTTCAGTGTAACCAAGGTAATTTAACCAATAGGAAACAAGTAAGCTAATAAAGTTAATGTGTACTGTTTCTTGTACTTACACTATAATTGCAGTATTTTTCAACTGAGAGCATATGTCCCATTGTAGCCCCTGGATATGTCAAGGGGACCACAGATGAAAATTGTTTAAGGTGGAGGGACAGTATGAGACTAGGGTATGGGTTTTTAAGGCAGAAAGGTCACAAAATCAAACATGGTCACAGGGGAACCATGGTAGGAAAAAGGATGAAAAACACTGTATTAAAGCAAGTTGTTTCTAAAATTGCCAAATTTCAATAAAACACTTTATATTGTGTCCAATTATCTGCTGGAGCGATAGAACAGTGGTAGGGCGTTCGTCTTACAAGCGGCCAACATGCCCGACCCGAGTTTGATTCCTCCGCCCCTCTCAGAGAGCCCGGCAAGCTACCGAGAGTATTCGATATGCCAAACACAGTAACAACAAAGTCTCCAATGGAGACGTTACTGGGCCCGCTCGAGCAAATCGACAATCAACGGGAGGGCCTTTACCTTTACCTTACCAATTAAATTTAAATTTCAGGTTAACAATATATTGGTAATGTCTAAATTACAAAATTTATTTAGTAACACAAAGTGTGTTCTAAAGTGTTGAAACAAAAATAATATACAGATTATTTGTTATTATTGAGTTATAATGCAATGTGAATGAAAACAAAAATGCAAGAAAAATAGTATATTTTCTTACAAAACCCAACTTCATTAGTAGTATAGTATGATTTGTGAACATAAAAATTCCTTTATTTCTGTTTTATCAGATAATAGCAAATACATGGTTTTGTTATGTAACCCAGCTCATTTACAAAATTCTTGACTAATGAATTTTTAAGAAAGTGGTATCTCTCAGGGTTTGGTCATCTAAGATCTCCCTAAATATTTTAATTAGATAGCTGTACAAATTTCTATCTTCTTATCCTACTCACGGCTGTGTGCAAGGCAAGCACCCTACCTGCTCTACTATTACTCTGACCCTCTCTACTATTTTAAATCTCTAGGTCTCTTGTCCTTGTTAACTACCAATATATTTCTTAAAACTAAGAATTCTATAAATTGTGCATATTTTAAGTAACGGGGACTTTCAGTATGATGATATAGATGGCAACATTGTTATCCAATTATTTATCGCATGAAATGTTTCTAAAATTTAATACTGAGATCATCAAAATGAATTGTTTTACAAAATAGATAGACTTGGGACTGGAGAGGTAAAGTAGAGCAGGTAAGGCATTTCCTTGTATGTGGCCAACTGGGTTCCATCTCCTATACTGAAGATGGTCGCCGCAGCACCATATCAAACAGTAAACCCTGAACACTGCTGGGCGTGGCAGAAAAATCCATAAAAACCCCCAAATTGATAAACAAAGATTTTATAAGTATATGCATACATGTCTCTCACGCTATGCACATCAATTTCCCCTTATTATTAACAACTTGTATTGCTATCCTACATATATTTCTATCAGCCAGTATTGATATGTCCTTAACTAAAGTCAGTTTACATTAGTCACTCTATATGCTTTTCAGTTTTATAGATTTTATGAAATGCATATTATATATCCACTAAGATAATATCAGAGTTTTTCCTAGAAGTCCCCAGTTGTGGTTGAATACAGATAACATTAAATTTAACATCTTAATCATTTTAGTAGTTGGTCTATTTATTGAATATTATTTTTTTCCCCAGAATGCCATAAGGTTGGAATCATGCAAAACGTAGTCTTTCTAGACTCAGACTCGTTCATTCAACAGTGTTCCTATTAAGGTTCCTCCATGTCAGTTTTGTTGCTTAAAAGTTTGTTTATTTATTTATATGCTTTTTGGGTCACACCCGGCAATGCACAGGGGTTACTCCTGGCTTTTTTCTCAGGAATTACTCCTGGCAGTGCTCAGGGGACCATATGGGATGTTGGGAATCAAACCTGAGTCAGCCATATGCAAGGCAAAGCCCTACCCACTGTGCATTTGCTCCAGCCCCAAAAGTTAATTTTTTTTAACATTTTGTACTTGTTTGTTTTACCACTGAATAATATCTTATTGTATGGATGTACCACAGTTTGTTTAATCATTTTTTGCAGAATACATTAACTTAGTGTTCCTGGAAATTATGAATAAAGTTACTATAAATATGAGTTTTGGGTTTTGTATGGACATAGTTTTCAACTCTTATTTGGGCAAAATACTAAAAGCAAAATTGCTAGAATGTATAACCAGACTACTTTTAAGTTTGTAAGAAACTGCTGAAGTGGCTGTATCATTTTTGCATTCACGCCAGTACAATATGAGAATTTCTGTTGCTCTACAGTTCTAGCATTTGCTATTTTCAGTGTTTTGGATTTTAGTCATTCTCCTAGGTGTGTTGTATTCTGTCAGCATTGTTTGAATTGCAGTTATTCAATGATAAATCATGTTGAATATCATTTCATATGCTTATTTGCCATCTATATATTTCTTCTTGAGAAATTTCTGTTTAGATATTTTGCCCCATTTCCTATTATTTTTGTTTTGTTATTGTAGGGGCTGGAGAAATAGCACAGTGGCTAGGGTGTTTGCCTTGCACGTGGCTCACCTTGCTTTGATTCCTCCGCCCCTCTCAGAGAGCCCGGCAAGCTACTGAGAGTATCTCACCTGCTCGGCAAAGCCTGGCAAGCTACTCGTGATGTATCTGATATGCCAAAAACAGTAACAACAAGCCTCACAATTCATTGTGAGATGTTACTGGTGCCCGCTCGAGCAAATCGATGAACAACGGGAGGACAGTACTACAGTGCTATCCTATTCACAAATTTCCTTCACTCATTCAAACATTTCCTTTTCAACAATTTTGATGTTTTTTTTTTTTCATTTTTCCCCCTTCTGTCAGCTTAGACACATGGGCCTCAACTTATTTGCTCTATAAATAGGATGTGGGCTCTTGTCCTCAGTACTGGAAAATACAACTCTAGTTTTCTCATCCTGAGTACTCCCTTGGAAACCAGGATTGGATCAGAAAAATGAAGCCATTGCTGAAATCTGAAAGTCTTTAACATTTGAAGGCAGCCATAGACCTTGTTATCATCATACCCATCTCACCACCTCTAAAGCCCTAAGTATCAACCTGGAGCAGAGAGTTAGTGAAAAAGACCCTCTCTGATCTTTCTTCTGACACAAAGAATAATTAGAAACATATGTCCACTGATAAAATTTATGGACGCACCGAACCAAACAAAATACTCAGGGTAACCAAATAAATGCCATTATTCTAAAAGCTGGGAGCATCTGCGAGACAATATGTGCCAATTAGCCCTTCCATACCATATTCTGTGGGTCCAAGCAGTTATAGGAGGACTCTGAGAATACTCTGTACATCTCTTGAAATTCATTGTACATTTGCTGGACTTGCTGACTTAAGGCATTTCCTCTGATGCCACTAAACTCAAGCTTTTCCAGTGTGTGAAAATCCAAATTTGTATTCAGAAGATTCTAGAGACACAATTAATAAAAGAATTAAAATAACAACAACAATAATAGCAGCAGATAACACATTAGTATGAGAAGAGCTGGAAAATAATATAGAAAATTATTTGCAACATTATTTGCTAAGGAAAATTAGTTTTGCAACATTATTATAAGTTGTCATAAATATCACTTTAATAATCTCAATAGCAAGGCAAAATAAATACAGATAAAATAAAATTTTACACAAATAAATCGGGGCTACAGGGCAGCTCAAAGGGCTGAGAGCATATTATGCATCAGGAGGCCTGGGTTGGATGCCCAGCATCACGTGGATCAGCTGCTGTGAAAAAGGTGCATGAGAGTAGTTCCCAGACAACATTAGTTGTGACCCCAAGACAAAATAAAAACATCAACTTTATACCTCACAATTTTCTGTGCTTTCTCATAAATAATTATTGCAAATTAGTCTCTACATAATTTGTAGCTTTACTTCCTATTTTAAAATTAATTTCAAACAACATGTTTTCTGGTCCTAGACTGATGGTCATCATAGAGAATATGAAAAGGGAAAAGATATTTAAGTAGTACTAAGGGTAAGTCAAGATTATCAGCAGCAATTTTTATTAAGAAAAGAAATCTGAAGGTGTGTAAGTGGTGGGAACATCCTTGGCAAGTGTAAACAGCAAAGTACAGCAAGTGACTATATCGTATTGGGGTATTATTCATCATCTCTGTGTTGGATTTCTTTTTTAACAAAATAATGATGAGAATTAATTAAGTTCATATAGGCTTGGGATTTATGTGTCCATCACATAGTAACTGCAAAGTTTACAATGCTGGTATTGCTGTCAATATGGATTTTTTTCTAGCTGTGATCAGAATTAAGTGACAGATGTACAACAAAATTTAGTATATGGGAGGAGCAAGAACAAGAATAAGGAAAATTATGGCATAATACCCCAAACCCAGCATACACTGTATCACTCCAGAAAATTCCCACTGTCCAGTAATCACTACGACAGGTTGACTCATCAAACCATCAGAAAACTGCCTGGCCCTTCTCTGTTGCTGGGACACCAAGTCCAGCAGCAGTGTCAGAGGATAATTTTTTTCTGAGTTCACATGGGGTATCTTTACAGCCTTGAGAAGCAATATATAACATTTTTGTTGCTGATGTTTTGTTCAGTTCTGTTTATCATGGCAACCAACAAGTAGCTAAACAAAGAGAAAAGAAAATATTTAAACATTTTTTTGAATGAATGAACATATTGTCTTTAACTATTGACTTAGCCAATAAAGCTTCCAGAAAAAGGTTGAAGGATGATAGACAATCTAGAAACTATGACTTTAAAAACAATTTTGAAAAATAAAAATGCTGCTGAAGAGCATGATCAAACAAGGCTAAACTATGTTTTTGAATACTTGAAGGACCTTGGTCAGTCTAGATCAAAGATTGATGGAATAGGGAAACTCCACAGGTGTACCAAACTTAGCAGGGTTGGTCTCCAGATCCATGCCACTGGATCCTTCTTGGGATGAAGCACGCCAAGATCCTGCCCTGTTGAGGGCCAGGGGCTCCATCCATCCACACCCAGTTCTACTCACATTAAACAGCCCAAACTCAGTCTTGGCAATAAAACAGATCTCACAGAACCTGCTAAGCCTGAATCATCCCAGAAACACATTTGCTAGAGTATGCAGTGACACAATACCTTCAAAGTCCACAAGCTCTACTACAAAGCAGTAATAATTAAAACAGCATGGTACTGGAACAAAGGCAGAGCAGCAGACCAATGGAACAGGGTCGAATATACTGACATCTTCCCCCAAGCATATGATCATCTAATCTTCGATAAGAGGGCAAGAAATATGAAGTGGAGCAAGGAAAGCCTCTTTAACAAATTGTGCAGGCAAAACTGGACAGCTACATGCAAAAAAGTGGGCTCAGATCTGTCCATAACACCAAGTACAAAAGTAAGATCAAAATGGATTAAAGACCTCAACATCAGACCGGAATCCATAAGGTACATTGAAGATAAAGTTGGCAAAACCTTCCATGACATTGAAGCTAATGGTATCTTCAAAGATGTCACGCCACTGGCCAAGCAAGTGAAAACAGAGATAGACAAATGGGAATATCTTAAACTAAGAAGCTTCTGCACCTCCAAAGAAACAGTGACCAAAATACAAAGACAGTCTACAGAATGGGAAAGGATATTCTCCGAATACACATCTGACAAGAGGTTGATATCAAGGATATACAAAATACTGGTTGAACTCCACAAGAAAACAACCAACCCCATCAAAAAATGGTGCGACGAAATTAACAGAAACTTTCTCAAAGAAGAAATCCGAATGACTAAAAGGCACATAAGAAAATGCTCTACATCATCATCAGGGAGATGCAGATCAAAACAACACTGAGATATCATTTCACACCACAGAGACTGGCCCAGATCCAAAAGACCAAAAGCAACTGGTGTTGGCACAGATGTGGCGAGAAAGGGACTCTCTTTCACTGCTGGTGGGAATGCCAACTGGTTCAGTCCTTTTGGAAAACAGTATGGACGATCCTCAAAAAATTAGAAATTGAGCTCTCATTTGACCCAGCAATACCACTCCTGGGAATATATCCCAGAGAGGCAAAAAAGTATAGTTGAAGTGACATCTGCACTTGTTTGTTCATTGCAGAACTCTTTACAATAGCTAGAATCTGGAAAAAACCTGAGTGCCTGAGAACAGATGACTGGTTAAAGAAACTTTGGTATATCTACACAATGGAGTACTATGCAGCTGTTAGAAAAGATGAAGTCATGAAATTCATATAAAAATGGTACTACATGGAAAGTATCATGCTAAGCTAAATGAGTCAGAAAGAAAGGGACAGACATAGAAAGATTGCATTCATCTGGGGAACATAAAGTAACAAAATAGGAGACTACACCCAAGAATAGCCGAGATAAGTACCAGGAGGATTACTGCATGGCTTTGAGGACAGCCACACACGCTAGGGGAAAAAGCAGCTCAGATAGAGAAGGGAGCACCAAATAAAGGGTGTTGGGAGGTTCCTCTCAGGATGAGAAATGTATGATGAGAGTAGACTATAGACTGAACAAGATTGCCACTCAATGTCTCTTTTGCAAACCACTGCACTCAAAATGAGAAAGATAACAAAAGGGACTGCCTTGCCACAGAGGTAGGGTGGGATGGGGGGATGGGGGGAGGGAGGGATACTGGGACTGGTGGTGGTGGAGAATGGGCACTGGTGGAGGGATGGGTATTTGATCATTGTATAACTGAAACCCAAGCACAAAAATTTGTAAGTCTACAACTGTATCTCATGGTGTTGCACTAATAAAAATTTAAGAAAAAAAAAAAAGAAAAAAAAGTCCACATTACTGACAGCCTAGTAGGAATGCAGAAAAGTATATGGAAAAGTTTCATAGAAGCTCACTAAGCTCGATGAGTGAAAACAAAAGCATAGAAGACTCAAATAGCACCAAAAGTTCAGTAGGTCCTCTGACAATAACATTTGTAATAGCGTTATGAGATATAAATTGCAAAAGCAATATAAAATCATTCTGTGCATTCTAAGGGCACAAGCTGGGGAGTTGGGAGGGTAATTTGAGGTATAGATATTTATAGTGTGATTGGTATTTAAATACTGAATACCTGAAATGACTATATTATGAACAACTTAATAAATCATTGTATTTAAATAAACTTTTGAGTGTGAAAAAACAATAAAAACCAATTTTGGAGAGAAAAATCTTGAATGGGCTTATTTTGAGGGGAAAAGTGGGAGATGAGTGAGAGGGACAAAAGAGCAGGTTTGGCCTCAACTTATACTTTGGGTTTACGAAATATTTTACATTTGATTGTTTTGACCTATAAGAAATGGTAACTTCATATAGATCAATTTTAATAGGGTATCTAATAAAACTAATTCTAGAAATAATGAGCTAAAATCTCTAGATATTTTTAGTAGATGTACACAATCAGATGTGAAATTGTCTCACAATTATAGGAGGAACTTTAATGTAACTACAATAACTACATATTTCACTTTTATTTTTATTTATATTTATTTTCTATTTTTTATTTTATTACATTACCATGATATAGAACATCACAAAGTTGTTCATGATTGGGTTTCAGTTACACAAATATTCCAATACCCATCCCTCCACCAGTGTAATTTCCCAGCAACAGTGTCCCTAGTTTCTATCCCACCCCTTCAAGCCATCCCTCACCCCTGCCAAGGGCACTTATCCTCTCTCTCTCTCTATCACTTTCTCTTCCCTTCTCTCTCATTTTAGGTATTACGGTTTGCAATACAGATGCTGAAAGGTTGAAAGGTTATGTATATCCCTTAACTTACTTTCTTTTTTTTAAAATTTTTATTAGTGAAACACCATGAGGTACAATTGTAGACTTACAAATTTTTGTGCTTGGGTTTAAGTTATACAATGTTATCCCTTTACTTACTTAAATTACTTACAGTTATCCCGTTACTTACTTTCAACACTCAGTTCTTGTTCATAGCGATCATTTCCAACTTATATTGTCATAAGGGCTGGAGCGATAGCACAGCAGGTAGAGCATTTGCCTTGCACACAGCCGATCCGGGTTTGATTCCTCCACCCCTCTTGGAGAGCCCAGCAAGCTACCGAGAATATCCCACCCACATGGCAAAGCCTGGCAAGCTCCCCGTAACATGTTCGATATGCCAAAAACAGTAACAAGTCTCACAATAGAGATGTGACTGGTGCCTGCTCAAGCAAATTGATGAACAACAGGAGAACAGTGCTACAATGCTATTGTCATAAGGGACCCTCCTCTATCTTAACTATCCTCCAGCTTCCACACCCTTGTGGTAATTTCCGTCCGTTGACCAGTCCTTCTGGCCCATTTTTCCTTGTATTGGATATTAGTTTCATAGTTTTTTATATTACACAAATAAATGCAGCCATTATATTTTTTGTTCCTATCCTTCTTAGTCATTTCACTCAATGTGATACTCT